TTAATAAACTGCTGAAACTATTTACAGGAACGGGACAATGGTCTGTAAAAATAATTGTAAACCCTCCAACAAGATATATATTTTTGTCTAATGAAAAAAATAAATCTACAAATGAGATTGAAAAAGAGTAGTTAAACTTTCACTTAAAGAAGTTAGCGCGAGGAAATAAGCTAGTTTATATATGAAAAAAATATTTATAAAAACTAGTTTAATGCGGAAAGAGTCATCGTGCTTAGGACAAGTGACCGCTGTAGTGTATGAGTAATTGGTTGTAGAGTTAACTTCACAGACTATTAGATTTAGGAGCTAGTATATTATAGAGTAATCTAGAAAACACTATTTTTTGTTTATTCGACAGACTTTTACTCTATCGGGAGGCTATCAACACAAACCCAGAGCTAGAAAAAAAATGGTTTTACCGTGCATACGCGAAGTTCATTATACCACTGGCAGTGTTTGCAATTTTTGAAAAACGATATAACCCTATTCACATTTTTTTAAGAATGGCTATTAAAAGGTCACGCCTCATTAAAGCTTAAAATAAACTTTTTAGAGATGCAGAGTTGATGATAGCTTGAAACTGAAAAGCTAAGAAGGATGCCGAAATTGAGAGAATTATTTTGTAGGCAAACAAAAAATAGGTGAGCAGTTAGTAATGGCCTGAAAATCAGGCTAAGTTAGAATAAGTTTTGTTAAGCCAGTATAATAAATTAATCCAAAAGTACTGTACAGAGTAATTTTTAATATACTTTTGTCACTTCAAATATTTAGAAGTGACGCAGAGGTCCTCTCCTTGTATTATATAATAAAAGTTAACTTTCCGAGTTGACTGAAGTTTAACTCTCCTCTAATACCAACTCCAGAAAATTAAAGTGTTTTTTTTTTCCCGAATGCTTTTAGAAAAGTTAATTAACTTCTTTTAAAACACCACCAACTAGTTTTATCGAGCAAAAATTACTTAATTCATTATTGAAGAGATTTGTGCTAAAACGTTATCCAGACCAAATAAGAGGACCGTATTACAAATTTAGTTTGTAGATGAAAAATAGAGGGCGATGTTTTAAGGACAGCAAACGGGTGCAACACTTTTCAAGTAGCCTTTTAAGTTTTCAACAATTAGGGCATTTTAATAGGGTGAAACAAAGATATAAATAGTAGGAGTTAACATTTTTTTAGGTTTATATCGCTTTATATCTAAAAATTTATAAAAATTTCGAGAAATTTAGGAGTTCAGGCCTATTTTCAATAAAATATTATTTTTACGATTGGTAGCTTTTGCTCTATTACAAGGCCATCGCTTTTAGCTTATCAAACATAGCTATAACTATTGCACACACGTCAACATCATTACTTCTCATACCAAACCTTTAACCTCCCCTCCCGATTTTTCTAACATTTCGGGAGGAGCTTGATGATACTGAAATTTATGAGGGCAAGGTTAGGTAAGCAACTGACAAAGGCCTAATTCTAAGAGTACCGCGTCGGTAAGTTTGCGCGTTAATGCTCTTAACCGCTAAGCTCCTACTACAACTTTCAACTTCGATATGATTAATAACTTGTTAAATTTACTCTACTTCCTATTATTAATAATAATAAAAAACGATAATATCCACATTTCATTTTTAATTTACGTAAAAAAGAAACAGGATTCAGTTTTTTATACTTAGGACTTCCCTACAAGGGAGAAAAATCACTGTAATAAATAGATAGAGTAAATGTTAATATTGCAATTTTAAAAAGCATCCCGTCCTCAATAAGCGGCACTGACACTGACTTGCGAACAAGTGCCAAATAAAAGCATTAATCATTTTAATCACTCAATGATAATACCAGTTTAATCACTTTGGGGTTAACTAATCACCCTCAGCTTGCTGCTCAAGATCTTTTTTGTATTTGAATATAACATACAAAGCTACAATCATTCTTTAACAATCCGTTAAAAATTGAATCCAGCTTCATATTATAAATGCATATTGCCGTAATTAAACAAACTTTATGTTTACAACTTAGATTATTTTAACCTTTCATTATATATATATATATGTATGTATGTATAAAAGTTAATACTATTAATAAAAGTAGTGTGAGTCGCGTTCATTTTCGTTTGCGTTTTTTTCTTGTGTTCCTATGCGTGTGCTGAAATACCCTAACACAACTCTATCCTTCCGTCATTTCACTATCCTTCATGACCTAGGCTGGGTGATAACCAAATTAAAAATATTTGGAAAACACAAAAAATAAGTAATTTTAAAGATCAAACTAGACAGGAAACTTAAGTTGAGATGTAAATTTGAACCCTTTTACACCGAAATTTGGATAGTTTTATAAGTGCGTTTCATTTTTTTTGACTAAATAAAGTAACATAGCACACAGAGATATGCCTGAGTGGGCGGTATTATGTAACCAATAAAAAGGTTTTATCCTCTTTGGAAGTAAACTGGGCAACGACAATTTCTGGTCGATTGTAAAAAACTCTAAAGAAAAAAGAACAAACTCTTCCTCCTACATCAGAAAATAGAGCTTTGCGATATGTTAAGGAGTATTCTACTTTATACTCATCAATAGAGCATAACTGACATTATATATTAAAATAGCTGTAAATAAAAGTCATCTTAAAGGTATATACCCCGTCGTAGATAAAAAAACTTGTTAAAATAAAAACTAGTTATTGATTAGAATAATAATATAAATAATTATAAGTAAAGTTTATTAAAAAAGTAGTAAAAATTTATATTAAAAATAACTAACGTTTGCCGTTTACATATCTGAGCTCGTTTTACAGTACCTATTTAATAAAATAAAACACACATTAATTATAAAGTAGGAGTGGGACTAAAACTCGAAAAATTTAAATTAAGTTATTTCCACCTATTCCTTTTTCCTTTACTACGTTAGCTTACAAAAAGTAAAGTAACAGTAAAATTAAAAATAAACTAACTTTCGCTGTGGGTTTGAGAGGAACTTAAGGGCTTCTAAAACGATATATGGCCATATAAATTTTTTATTTTATAATGGTCTTTCAAGGAAAATTTGCTTATTGGATGTGTTTCAAAAAGTAATGTAACTTAAAGTCATTTTTTTTTTGCCTGCTAAAAATATTCTGCAAAAGCATCCTAAGGGTTAGGATGGCTAATGGTAAAGTCAAACAGTTGAGTGGACAGCCAAAGTATTTTAATGTCGCAATTTACTTTTTAAAATATTTTAATCATTCAGACCCACACATGTCAAAGAATATAATATAAAGAGCTTTAAGGTTTTATGCGGGAGTGGCTGGTGCCAAAACCATTAACTAAATCAAGGTGGTTAGGGAGACTTGTTGTTTAATTGAAGGAAACAAAAAGTGCAGTAATAGTGCGGGTAACGCAATTTTATTATTAATTGAACTTAAGTATACCTTTGATATATATATACATAGTGCACAGTATTTGTAATTTTATCAATTGCCTTGTTATATAGCACAAAGTTTTATTATTATTATAATATCCTTATTCAGGTGATATTACCTTAGATATACTAATATATATACTAACATAATTACTTGTGGTTCCTTTGACTCTATAAAGTATTTGTTATACAAAAGAACTTTTTTATTGTTTATAAAAGTTAGTGTGGAAAGGGTATTCCCTTTATTTTGTTAAGTTTATTATGTTATAAATATTAGTGTTATAAAATTTTTTTAAAATTATTTCGTTTATTCGTTTTAATTTTAATTATATAAAAATAAGGTGTTGGCATTTTTACGAAACGTTTTAAGAAGCTTATAATCGAGAAAAATTTAGATATTAAAGTTTGTGACAGTACAGGTGCTTAATTCCCTTGAAATTGATTTTTTCTGAAAGTTATTGGATTATGTTAACTAATAATATTTTTTGTAGTAAATATATATATATTAGAAGAATAATATCTATTACTGTAAATATATTCTATATAATCAAGGTCATATGCAACTTTGCGACCACCATAAATCTCATCTTAGTGCGCTTTGGGCCGCGAGGTATTATACTTAGTAAATTTCTATGCTTTTTATTACTTCATGGACTTTAGTAAAGATCGAGACCTACTAAGCAAAAACACAGTAACGGATTCGTGGATGATGTAAATATTTATTATTTTTTTCTTTCGCTTTCTGCCTTTAGTTTTAAACATTTCTAAGTATTTTTATAATATGATTTTAGAAATATATAGTCAATAATAAAATTATAAAGTTCTTTAATTACTTAGTTATACTTTTATAGCTATCCTTTAAGTTTTAAAAGTCTTATTTTGCCTTAACTTTTTATATTCTTTAACATAGTTTAAAATCGACTTTAATCTCTTTCACGTTTCTTCTTTGAAAAAATATAAACGATTTTACAAACTAACTACACGAGGAAACTTAAACAATAAGGCCGAGTTGATAAAGGTGCTGATCTGGTTTATTTATTATAAATTACTATATTAGTTCATTTGCTACTAACACTATTGACGAGAATCTTTTTTATACCGTGCTATTTTACCCTTTGTATCAACTGACTTTAAATATTATATATTATTTTAATGCACAGACGTGCTCTGCCCACTTTTACTCCCAACCCGTTAACGAGGCTTCTGTTATTACCAACTTTCTAAGAGCTATTGCGAAAGAACCGAATCTTGAAGAAAAAAATTCTAAGAGAGCTAATGGTTTCTTTGGAGAGAACATTGGTGGTCGTTATAAAGCTCGTCGAGAAATGGGAACGGATTATTTGATGACTAGAAAAAGCAGTCATGCACGCCATTTTAGTAGAGCGGGTCTAGCATTGGACAATTGCATTAGAAAGAGTTTTTATGGAAACTGCTGCCCTATTTCTGGTAGCACTAGCACTCAGAGCAGCAGCGGTCTCTCTAACTCGCACGAAAACAGCAATGCTGATGACACCAAGTCAGAGCTTATAATGGAAAAACAGAATAATTAATAAAAAGAGGAGCAGAAGCTTTTCTAGAATAATATAATATTAGTTTTAATCGGTTGAAGCAAACTTTTAATAGTAAATTCTACAGTGCCCGATCTTTCTTGGGTTCAGCAGTTGGACGAGAGAAAAACAAATTGCAGAGAAAACAGTAACGCTTCCCATTATTATATATCCTAAACCTAATGATTAATAATTACTAAGAAGAATTGGTTAATAATTATAACAAGCGACCCAAAAACTGATTTTTTCCTCCAAAGAATGAGGTTGTGGCGAGTACAACTTTTTTCTTTCCATCAAAGACTAAGACAGGGTACCCTGAATTATAAAAAGGCAGAAAAAATATAAAACAGGATTTGCTACCAGAGAACACATAGATATAGTATTACTGTAGTTTACTTCCAAAACGTAGGAGCCGGCCTCGAGAGGTCCTTGCACACGCCTATACAACTTTTTAAAGTTTGACACTGCAGCAGTTCTCATCCATACTATAAAATCTTCGTTTTCATAGCCCTTTAGAGGGAAAAGATTATCAGAAGCAACTGATATTTTCTTATTATTATTATTAACGTTGCCATATCCATCACCGCTGCTTGGCATTTCATAAACTTCAAATGTCCAATATGGCGGCCTGGTAGTGTTTTTAAAGGCCTCCTTAAGGTTATATTGAGGAGGTGGATTTTTAAAGCGAGTTCTAAATAAAAAGTATACATCCACAACGCGTTAATAAGCGTTACAAAAAAAATACTAAAAAATACGATATATTTATAAAAGACTGATGGGCTTAGAAACCTTAGACATTGTAATAACTTTTAACTATAGAACATAAATGCTTTATCAACTATAGGGAAAAGTATGTTTTTATAGTAAACATATTAGAAAAATAGTCGCTGCTAAAGTCAAGAAGTTTTTAATACTTAATAAAATTTCATTGAATAAAAAAGGGAAGTGCTAGAGTAACTAATGATTTAATATGACGCAATAAACAATATTTTTTATTGATAGCTATCATAACTTGTCCGTGCTCCAAGAGATATCTTTTCCTGACAGCGTAACAACTTTACCAGAAGGATCCTTTAATATAAAAGAATCTAATACGAAGTTTAAAAGAAAAGTTATATTTATATTAGGCCTCTGAGTATATACATTTCCATAGAACTGTAAGTTATATTATATCTTTTTATTTATATTAAATATCTTAAAAAACCGATGACTTATAGTAAAAAGGACATAATGAACTAAATAATTAGCCGACACTATATTAAATAGAAGAGAGGTGAGTATAAGGATAATAGGTAAGAAAGGAAGAGTTCACGTTGTCACATTCGCTAAGCAGTAATTTTTTAAAAATATTTAAAGATGTTATGTAAAAACTATTTCGTAAAAACATGATAATATCGTGGAAGTTTTCAATACATACGCATAGTCAGCATAGAGAATTAATTATATTAAGAAAACATGAAAAACAGAAAGTTCCTAACAATCTACATTAAAATTTTTAATTAAAGCATTTCTATAGCACTTAGAAAAGCTACATGTCTAAGAATAAAAACAACCCAAGGTGCCCTTTCAAAAATATTTTATAATGACATAAAAAAAAAGAAAAAACAAAAACACTTTTCCAAGTTTATGATAATAGTAAGTTTGTTACTTAAAATAATATTAACATGTTCATATACTTTTCTTTAATTTTGCGGTAGTTTACGACCAGGTATATAGATAATGTTTGAAAGAAAGGCCGAGTAACCATTAAAGAAACTGTTTGCTATGAGACCACAAGGCGCAATGGACGTGTTGCCCACCGTAGCCAATGGGTCACAGGTCTTGTCCGCCGAAGTAGAGCCTGCAGGAAGACATGCATCAGTAAACTAGACATTACTTGGAAATATAAAGAATTTTATTAAAATATAGTATGCGACTTATAATTTGAATTGAAAGTAACTTAACAAGAGGGTTTTTTATTTTGTATATTTCTCTAAAAAGAAACAGAAAGTAGTCAAGAGAGAATAGGAAGTAAATTAACATTTCCTTAGTAATAAGTGCGCTGATACTATTTATAAATATTAAATTTATAAGTTTTTAAAGTAAAATAATAAAAAAGTCCAAAAGTATCGAGCATGTTAAGGATAAAGGATCTCCAATCCGTTATTCTATAATATATATTTTTTCTTTGCTCATGACATAGGTAATCTAACTTAAGCATATGATAATTATATGAACTTTATAAACTTAAAAGTTTTATTAAAGTTAAGCAACTTTTAATAAATAGTATAGTTAATAAATTAGAAAAAAATTAAGATACAGAGAAGAAAAAAAGAATAAAAAGCAAATAATAAGTTTACGATTTGTTCTGATAACACTTGGGATGTCAAAAAATTTTAAATAAAATTAACAAAAAGGGAAAGTTACTATTACGCAAAGAAGAGGCGATCGAATATAAATAAAGTTATAAAATTAAAACCATAAAGCTGATAATTATCTCTGCTGGTCGTAAATCTTCTATGATTCTGATAATAATTATCTATGTTTGTTCACAAAGACAGTTTATATGACTAAAAAATGAATGATAACGTCCTTACTCAGGTTATAGTATAAGTAAATATCTTTTTCTTTCCATCTTTCAGGCAAAGTAAAGCTAACTTGGCACCGACAACTCGCTATAAACCAAATAATCTTAAACTTATATAACTATTGGATAAAGATGTTATATTTTAAATATATAAATAAAACGTCAACTTCGTAAATAACCTATTATTGTGCGCATCAATTTTCTAAATATTTACATACTTGAACTTTAAACGCGCTAAACTTTATATAACAGTCGTATGGATTTATTTAATGGAAATTATCATACAAAGGCATTTCCTAATTTATAATAAAATAAAATAAAATAAAAATTCTTTAACCTTTTATGTCAGCAATAAGTATGTTAGCACAAGTCTGAGAGGCGGCTTCCAAAGCGCCACACTCCGTGTAGTCCACTTCTACTTCTTTCACCTTCTCAGGGAGCAGTTAGTAGTTACAGAAAGAAATTCATAAATAAGAAAACAAACCTTCCTGTTGGACGCCTGCAAAACAGCACCAAAAGTGAGAAAGCAGACACCTATAAAGTAAAAACACGGCACAACTGTACTAGGCAAAAATACAGGCCGCCAAGCTTTTAGTTTCTGTTGTTGCAAAGCAAGATCTGGAATTAAAGCAAATTTGAAGCATAACTTTTTTATAGCAGTGTGCTTATTAGTAATTTTTAAGATGTCAGTAAAGAAAAGTTAAACTTATTAGTGGTTTACAACAATAAATGATTTCTTTTTACTTTTAAATATTCGCTGTAGAACCAGTAATATTTATTATTACCTTTAGGCCTCTTCTTTTTTTCATTATTCTTTAAAGGAACTTCTACCGAATTCTTATTTAGGCCTTTCATGACAATGTTAATAGTACAGAAAGCTTTATAAAAACATACGAATCCCTAAATAATAAAGGCAAAGTCAATTATAATATAAATACAACGATTAGACGTTTAAAAATATAAAAGAGAAATAAAAACCCTTTTTAATACAAATTTATTGAGAGCTAAATTACTTTTATAATAAACTAATACTGCTAACAAGGTTTAAAATATATTAAAAGCCATAAAAGTTTGCATATGCTGTTAATATAAACTAACAAATGAAAAAGATAAAAAGTTGGATTTCACCACTAATTTATTTTACTTGATATAAATAATCAGTACTTTAAAACCGCTACTACTCCATTTAAAAAGCAACACGTACTTTAACAAATTTCCGACTTTATAACCTCTACCTATTCCGTTTAATCCCGGTCATAAAATTTAACCCCATTTAACTTCAACCTCTTTTTCTATTAAATCTTGTAAGCCCTTTAGTAAAACAAGGAAGCTAAAAGGTTTGGCCAGCTACTTCTCAAAGTCAATGATATAGTTTGCTACTGAGTTTAGTGGTCGCATTCTAACTCCGGTTTATGGAATGTAGTTCAGTCCAACCCAGTCCTTTAGACATTAAAGTTTTGATACGCTAACTTGTGTATCAGCTGAAAAATAGGTATTTAAGGCAACATTTTTTGGTTATCATTCTATGTGCGTTTACTAGCTACTTTGTGCTAAAATCATAAGATAGCCTGAGGACGTAAGTAGTCACACCACTCTTAGTGAAATAAGCTCTAACGTAAGTAATAGTACTTGCAAATGATTCTTTTTAATAGGCGATATTGTTAATGTTAAGAAGAGTATTATTAATATTCGAATGGATGTCCACTTCAAGGTGATTAGTCCCCTGAGTTACTTAATTCCTAGTATATCCAGAGCCGTGGTTAATAAGTCTCTAATGACTAAAAGAATTTTTTTTTAAGTCTGGCGTGTGAATTTTTAATAATATATTAGCTAAAGTAACGTTTCTTTATTAGCTAAGTTATAAATATTTTATTAAAATTATAAGTGGTTCACTTTAAAAATACTCTTCCTTTTCAATTATATACGGATATTTCCAAATAAAGTTCACAGAGAGCGATTAAGAAGTTAATATATACAAACATAAAAATATTAGTATATTATCTCCTTGTGTTTACTTAGTGCCGGTTAGCTACGAGCCGTATAATTATTTTCTCGAACTACGTTAAAAAATTAAAACTAGTATGTAAGAACAGAAAATAATTTTAAAAGTACATATTACTTTTCCCTTAGATATACTATTTAGTAAATGAAACTAACCACACTTATAAAGAAACTAAAATAATCTCAAGCAGAAAATCAAAAAAAAAAATTGTATGCTAGTTTAAAAACGTCCACTTAGTTTTTCCCTTCTTACATAAAATATAGAATTATGGGCTTTTATTTTGTAATAAAATACTTTAAAGTTGCAAACTAAGGTCCTTGGCGCACATTACCGCTTATTGGATTTGCATTGTGTGAGCGAAGATACTCTTCACTTGCTCTTCTCCATTCCTCTGTATGTGTTTTTGTGGGCTTCCCTTTCAATAAATAACTTCGAATCGACACAAAAAGAACGTATGAGAATATCAGGGAGGAGGTTACTACTATAAAAATGAATCTTTTTTCTTCCCAAGTGGTTTTACGCCCAGCTGCATTTTCAAGAAATGTTTTGCCGTAGTCTAACCTGTACACTAAAGAAAAATTAAAAAGGAAGTGACACGGATTGCCTAGAAATATTATGGTAAACCGATAAACAAAAAGAGTAATTTATTACATAGCTCTCTTTCTGCATCTGTTAAGTCTGCCCAGTTTCCTGACTCTTTCTTCTTTAAAAAAGTAAGGGTCTACAAAATAAAGTAACAACGTTTTAATGTTTTTCACAAAGATTTGAGCTTACCTTTTCGTTTAGCTTGGGGGGTATGGGATCGACTCTCCAAGGATTTTCTGGAATCCACCAGAAACCTTCCCAAGACTTATGATTTGCATTAGGGTTCACGTAACCTTGATTAACAGCGGAAGTGGCATAAAACACTATATTATGACCTCTGTTGAATAAACTCGGATGAACTATGTGTTTATTTACAAATCCCAGAGTTGAATAGCGAAATAATTTGGGATTCACCATCACAAAAAGATTAAATGACACAAACTACAAGGGCTTTGAAGGAAGAGAAAAGGCCTCGGCCAGTTGACCCAATTTTTTTAAATTCTAGGGCGTTAGAAATTGGTCATTTATAAAAATATTTTCTACCAGAATGAACTATAAAGAACCAAAGTGCAGTACGCTAAATCTAATGTAATCGTTCTTATCAGATACCAACATCTACAGATTTTGAGTCTAGAAAGTGGAATGATGATGTTAACATTTAACAATATTAGTCCTCGGGCTCTAACGAGTATACCTTAGATGTTTTCATATGTATTAAGGTCAATTTTTGAATCTTATTATCTATATATTTCACTTTTGGCTTTGTATATATACATACAGTTCGCTCTTACGCAGTTTAGGCGAGAACTGGTGGCAGCTAGTCATTTCTAAAAACTTCTGTCAGTTAACTTAAAACTACCGGAATAAACTGAGTGAGAGTACATCTCGAGACTCAATTTCGAATCCCCGAGGATCGGCAAGCGCTTAACAATTGACCCACTTCTCTCTGCGTACTTAGCCTGAAAGAAGATGCTATTGATCTCATACCTTACCTATTTAATCGACATATTAGCAAGAAGACTTCATAGACCAGTTTTCTCAATTTTAACCCGCGCCATCATGGTGCACACCCCCAACTGATTTTTCTCTTTTAGTAGTATATATTAATCTATAAAACTGGAATTCTCTTACTTTTGAGATTTTTCTTGAGCATATTAACAAAATATTATGTAAAATACCGCAAGTTTAAAAAACTAATAAACCGTCAATATTTGTTAAGAATTTAAACACCTTACAGCACGGAGCTAAAATTGAAAGTGAAGAGTAACATCTATTGTTTATTTTAAAATAATAACATTAATTAGTATGGTAAATAAATATCTATTTATTAAACAATTGGGCGCGTTCACTTTTATACTCCTCTCTCTCTTTCTTTTTCGGTGTTCACCATGTCTTTTTTGTTGTAGTTTTACGTTAGTTTAGAAGACCAACTCGATAGCGTAGATGTTGTAGTTCTAGTTAGGAAAACTAGAGTAAAGACTAAACGTCTAGAGGGTGTTTTACACGAAGTAAATAGATAGCTTAGTAGTCTAGGGAATAACTAAGTTAATAATTATAACTAGTTTCACTAGTTATTTTAAACAGATTAAGAAACTTTAATTAGACAATTTACTTCTAAGTTTAAATGGAAAAGATTTAAAACAAAAATAAAACTAATCAGTATGGGACAGTGGGTGTTACGGTAAAAGTAATCGTAAATGGTTTATAAGTATCTACGCCAATCGCCTGATATGTAGTTAGTACACATTTAGGCTAGCACAAAGTGTTTACAAACCGTGCTCTTTCAGTTTTAATGTCCTTTGGTAATGGAACACATGCTGCATCTTTTACTCTTATCTTTTAAAAGGGGGTAGCTTTATCTGATTCCTTCCTTCTACTTTTTGCATTTAAGATGTTATTAAAAAGAGACAGTTATAACTTTTTAAAACATTTCTTGACTACAATAATCGTCTATTAATATTCTCGTAAGTTTCTGACCTCATAACTTATTATGCCATTATTCGTCGGAATCAAATCAATTAGGTTATGACTACTAGCTTATCATCTGGGTTGTAATTTTGCTTAACTTTATAAAAATTTAAAAAAAAATCTATTTTTTTTCTGTTTTGAAATATCGCTAAAAATACTCTGAATTATTTATCTCTTTACAATTTAATTAAGTTAAAAAAGAAGGAAATTATATTTTTATCCATGGCCGAATCAGTGTATATATTAACACCAATTTAACGATACGATAAACTTTACTAAGCGGTATATAACCGTTAAACTAAATGCAAACCTTAGTATTTTAGCATTTAAGTTATAAGGGATTTTGTAGTTGTAAATATCTTTTCTACACGCGTTTAGTGTACGAGTAAAGGTCTATAACGAAATAATAAGACACTAAGAGAAAATAAAATATAACAGATCGCTCTATCCTTAGCGCTCTTTGTACAACTTGTGCTACACCTTAAAAACGCTTTTAGATTAGCAAAGCTTATCTCTTGAACAATTTAGGGCATCCCTAGGTAGTCTACCAACTCTTTTTTTAAACTGTTGTAACACATGATAAAAAGTAAAACTAAATTTCTGGGTAACCCTACATAGATTAATTAGGACGAAATAAAACAAAAAGTAATAATTTCGACCGCTCCCGAGAGATATAACAGGTTAAAATATTTACATCCCAGTGAAATGCGCGGATGCGGTAGTGGGTTTAATCCTTATCGACGCAACCCTCTATTTACATCTTACTTGATTGTAAAAAACATTAATCAATTATTTAGTAGCTTTTCCGTATAACTGAAAACAAGCATAAATCCCAACCTCTTGTGTTTAACAAAAAAAAAACCATAATTTACTAGTTTTATTAAAATTCGGACAACCCCATTATCTGAAAATTCAGAATAATTTGCTCAAATTTCTCAAAATTATTTGAGAACACAGAACCGCTGATTAAGTGGACGTTTTTTTAATTCGCTTCAGTTTGATAAAATTTAACTTTGTACTCTTTTAGATTTTAATACTTATAAACACGAATTCTCTATCAAACACACACAGCGTAAAAACATTTAATAAATGAACACCCACACAAACTGGCAAGGATCTTTATTGCGAGAATGGCTTTTGGATATTAAAGTAATATTAACTGAGCAAGGCATACATAGGATTTCCTTTAGTGGGGAACCTATACCTAAAAACGAACTATTTAAGAAGGCAGCGATTGAAATAAGAGTAACAATGAGCAACTTACAAAGGAATATTAAATTATGAATGAAAGGGCTAGACATAACCAAACCAGAATTAGCCATCCAAGCCATCAAGAATGTATTTGGTCAAAATGCACTAGTTATATAAATGGTAGAGCTCTGGGACTCCAATGCAACTAAACCAAGTAAAGAAAGTAAACGGCGACTCCCAAAAGGCTTGACCACCTTGCAGCTATGATCCAGGGGCCAATGCACCATTAAAGAGATGGCGTATAAGCTACCTAATGATCGCCCTAATCTATCGAAGCGACGAAGAATATAAGTAGGACCCAATATCATTAGCACAGCACCACAGCTACAACAATGAAAACATTGACTATGCATATGCACTACACTCATTACTGCTTGTTGAAAACATGTATAATACAAATATCTCGAAATAATAGACGCAAAAAAAAGCGACATTAGCGGAAACGCATTGGCCACCATGACACAACAAAAAACACTTCATACACTAAATGCTTCAAAGCAAAGGAAATCATCCGGCACAACAATGCAGGTACAAATATAAAAAGTGCACCTATTGTCAAAATATTGGGCACACAGAGATGGCATGCAGGTGTTACAGATGTAACGCGCTACATAATGATAAATACTGGAAGCATATATTTTCCAAATGCACATTTTGCCACAACAGAGGCACATTGAAACAGCTTGTAAAAAGAAGAAAATAAACACAATAGATGTTTAATAAATTATGAGATGAATCTGAAAGTCGACCGCAATACTAGACATTTTTATTATCTCTTCAAAGCAAACTTTTAACTAAGTCCTTTTCTCTGAAATAAGGCGCTTCCTCGGCTACCTCTATAAACGAAGGCAAGACTCCCCATGGCCCCCTTGAGCGTTGGCAGGAAACTTAGCACTCAGCCCAGGTGGCATTTATTACGAGATGCTAAACAAGTTGCGGCTGGTAGTAATAATTTATCTTCCTGTTTTGCAACTTTTGTAATCACTGACTCCTTCCCAACATAAAGGGAAACTGTTGTGAGGCTACCCAAGACCCGCGGAATTCTGCAGATCCTATCATTTTATTAGTCTACGTTCAGCAGTTGGCGAAACCGTGGAGGCTTGCCTACAACGCCGGCAGGAAGAGATTTTATTAAGAAAAATGGGAGTTGACACGGACTGGGTATGGAACCTGAGAAATTCGAGATTGGGTGAAGTTTTAACCACTGAGCTACGGTGACATCTCGCATCTTCTGTCCATAAATTACGTATACAACTTTTGTTAACGACAAACAGGAAAAGGACATTAAATCGAGAACAATATTTATGTTTTGTGTTTTAAAAACCTCATGTAATCATTTAACAGGAGAAAAAAGCAAATTATAAGAATACTTAAAGGCTGACTCCTACCACCCAAAAAGATTTCAATGTTCATATGTGAAAGAAACAAGTAAACTTTGCGATAAAATCTGACATTTTAAGGGTTGTTTTTAATAACGAGGAGATATACTCATACTTAACTAATACTTTTTTTAGGTGGTCGACTAACTAATGAGCTTTCAAAATTGAGACATGAGCTTCCTTGCTCTCTCTTAAAAAATTTTCGCTATGGTTACTTAAACTGCATGTAGCAAGTTTCTAATTGTATTTTGTGGCGACTTAATTTAATATTTTAATCATGTCATGGGTTGCTAACAGTTGCTGTTTACTCATTGACTAAGAATACATTTTGATGCATTAGCTACTTGTTATTTTCTCTACGAAGTTATCAGTGGACAAGGCGAAAAAATTTTATAGTTAGAATTTTGATTTTTTTTTTTTTTTTTTTTTTTTTTAGCTTGTGATAAGGTTATATCGCCAAGTCTTAGCCTCTTGTTAGAAGCATCCTCCTTCATTATGTTGCTTACTGACTCATTATTAGTGAATTCAAGTGATACTGCTTTTAGTTGAGGAGACATTTTTTTCAAAAAAAAGTTTCAGTGTTTTACTTCTAAAATGCAGTGCGCCTTCCTTCTATCAGCGTCGCTGCTTCATAAAACCAGATACGTTGTAAATAGTAATTACGTGTCTTTTAATCGCAGGTCAGCTTAGAAGGAGTCTGAGTAGCCTTGTATTTTTATAGGTTTTTCGACTCCCTTCACCTTCTTATCTCTGATAAAAACCCCTGTCAAAGCACAACTAGGTAACTGTAACTTAGCTTAAATGATCATATAACTTTTGAAAACTAAATGCA